CTCACCTCATAGTTCTAGCCGACCTGTGACAATGAGACTGTCACAGGTCGGCTCAGTAGATCAGGAGGTGAGCAAACACATACCGGTGTTCATTCACTTCTCGATCCTGTCACGGCTCTCTGCCGTGACAGGGGAGGGGCTGGATTCCCCCCTCCCCGCTCCGATCCACCAGCGCTGACTGGCGGAACGGACAGGGCAGGGGGAGGGTACAGCTGGCTCTGCCTCTAGATAGGCAGAGCCAGCTTTCACTCACGCAGCTGGGCGGATCCCGACATCGATGTCGGGATCCGCTCCGGCGTCTCAGTATACCGCGTGCTGTAGCTCGCGGTATACTGAGCTTAGGGTGATGGGAGGATGCTAGTTTGTGTCCTCCCGTTACCCTTAGGAGAACTATGGGGAAAAGCCCTGACCCCATAGTTCTCCTTTAAATCTGTTCCTATGACACATCTGTTGTTTTGTGTTCCGACTCATGCCCCAAAACACAAAGATGTGAATAGGCCTTAAGCTCATCACACATGTTAAAAACTGATTGAACAAGTTCCTTTATATCTACCAACAACTATGTAGTACACGACAAATAAATATTCAACATAGCTGTGCCAACAATGACATTACTATTGCGACAACCCAGTGATTGACAGACATGTTAAGAATTAGATAGCTGCTGCATGTTTACATACTTTTTTATGGGGGATGATATCAAGCAATATATATATATATGTGTGTGTGTGTGTGTGTATATATACTGTATATACAGTGGTACCTCGGTTCAAACAATCTTCTGTTCGTGAACAATTCGGCTTGCGAATAGGAAGTTCAGCAAAATGTTGCTTCTGTTTGCGAACTCCGCATCTGGTGACAAACACAACCACAGCCATCTTCCCTGCTCTGACACTGATTAGATACAAATTAAAAGAGTGAGCTACCGGAGCTTTGGATTGGCTGAGTCGAAGTCCTTCTGAAATCAGCCGTACAGGGCTGAAGTGAATAGCCGAACTGCGTTCGGCTCACTTCACTTCAGCTGGGTTATTCACTTGGCTGCCTTTGGCAGCTTTGTGAATAACCCCCATAGTTTTGATAAACCTATAGATGACTGTACAAAGAATGTACAGTCTGATTGTATCGTGCATGGTGACCCTAAGGATTACTACAGCAGGAACCCCAGATGTCCCTGTTCAGATGCGGTAGCTGTATCCATTTAAGCTAATGACAGGGTGACAGCAGCCATATCTGTCAGCGGCAGTGCGCATGTAATCGTGCAATTACATGCAGTCTGGTATAGATTATTGTCCCTGGACGTATGATAGATGCATCCAGTGACAATAATCTATCCCGAACCACATGTAATCGTACCATGTACAAATATATGCAGACTGCTGCTGACAGATGCGTCCGCTATCACCCTGTCATTAGCTTGTATGAATACAGCTGCCGCATCTGAAGGGGGTACCTGGCATTCCTGCCACAGGAATCCCAGAATGCCTCATGTGAATGCAGCCTAAGAGAAAAACATCAGTCATTCTAAAGTAGTGACTGTTTTACTCACAAGGCATTTTTCTTTAAGCACAAAAACAACAAAGGACCACAGCAGCAGCAGTCCAATTGCATGCTATTTAGCAAGGACAGCTGTAGTTCCTGGAATATGAGCTGGAATTTGGATATGCTAAAGTTTTTATCCATTAGTGAACATGGGCCTCCCAGACTGCACAGGATCTTGTGGCTGACTCTTGTAACAATATGGCACACAGAGCAGAGACACACAGGCTGATTGAGGTTATAATGAGGGATGCAACATGACTGGAATGCTGGAGGGAAGTTCTTGCTTCATAGAACACTTACATCATTAGTGGAACAAAAGGTGCTCTGGGGTTTGTATTGATTATTAAAAACATATTTTGCTGAGATATGTAACCAAGTTTCCAGTTATGTCCAAGAATCTCAGACAACCAAAAGAAAAGATCTTGCTATAAACACAATCAACTTTTATACACATGTGTCAACAGAGCAGCAGGAATGACACAGACAAAATATCTTGTAGGTGGACTCGATATAGCTTTCCAAATCCATGCAACTCAGCACAAACATATGTTAATGAAGATGGTTTCTGCATGCGCTACCAAAGTCTGCCTTTACCTGACATCACTGGTGGGCATATCAAAGGTAGATCTGAGAGTCTCTTTATGCAAAGTAAGTAATACTTTTATTTCTGAACAGATCCAAAAAAATAATTACTTTTATTATCCTGCTATTAAAAAAAAATGTTGCATTAAATAAAATAAACAGCATTCTGTTGTAATTGAGTTACAATCTACGGCAGGGGTAGGTAACCTTGTCACTCCAGCTGTGGTAGAACAACAAGTTACATGAGACATTACAAGACTCTGACAACCACAGGCATGACTCCCAGTGGCAAAGGCATGATGAGATTTGTAGTTTTACCAATATATACAATATCTATATAGAATATAGATGGCTACTAACACTAAGGTAGCGATCTATACACAATATAGATCGCTACTAACACTAAGGTAGAATAACTGAGCCACAAGTGTGAACTGCAATATATATATTCAAGATATGTGGATCAACCACTGCAATTTCTTTCCTTCTCTCTCTTTAGATATTTATACATGTATATATAATATGTGCTAGGGTCCTCCTAATCCTCTTGTTTCAAATTGTATAATAACTGCACTGTCTCCCTTTATGTTGTAAAGTGCTGCACAAGCTGGTCTGTGATCAGACCACGATCTCGACTAGAGGAACCCACGACTAGTGTCAGAGCAGGGAAGATGGCTGTGGTTGTGTTTGTCACCAGATGCGGAGTTCGCAAACAGAAGCAAGATTTTGCTGAACTTCCTGTTCGCAAACCGAAATGTTCACGAACAGAAGCTTGTTTGAACCGAGGTACCACTGTATATACAGTATATATACACACACACACACACATATATATATATTGCTTGATATCATCCCCCATAAAAAAGTATGTAAACATGCAGCAGCTATCTAATTCTTAACATGTCTGTCAATCACTGGGTTGTCACAATGCAATAGTAATGTCATTGTTGGCACAGCTATGCTGAATATTTATTTGTTGTGTTCAGCTACATAGCAGTGTCAAGACCTGCAGCCTATGTGCAGCTTTCTGCTATAATGTGGGAAATGTATATCGTTGTTGAAATTGCTGATTTCCCACTGCTGAATATTCAGGAAGTAGAAACTAAATAGCAACACTGATTTCTGCATTACTGTGGTCTGCTAAAGGGTACCACGGTCTTGCTTTAGACCCCTTTTTTTCTCAGGTGCACTGTCTATTAACTATTCATTTTCCTGGACACTGCATTCTACATTCTCACCCTTCCCCCTCGGTGGTACAAGAAGCTGTTAGGGTTTACATTTGTCACAGCGGTATCAAAGTCCACACTGAATTCTCTCACTGCATGTACTGAGGCTATGTAAATTTACACATGAGGTCTCTGTTCACCAAAGGGATCCTCTTATTTGCTGGATGCTTTTTTTTACACCACATATTTCTGAGTGGTATACAGATCACCACGTGTGAACGAACCTGGCTTTCAAGTATTTACAATGACTAATCCCTAATTAGTTTAGTGTGAAGTGTGTAAGGGCTGGCAGTTGCATGCACTGCATTTATAAACCATGGAACCCTGCCACAAGTTTTAGAGGAGGAGGGATGCCTTGAAGCATCAGGGTAGTGTCACCACCTGCAGCTTATCACAAGACAGTGCCTCAAAGCCACTACACCAGCTTTCTATGTAAGCTGCTGCGATCCAAGCTTGCAGGGTTTACTGTCACATTACAGTCATTCAGCCAAAGAATCCACCTCTGGAGGCACAATGTGCTGTCTAGATGCATATAAGTCTGCTTCACTCATCAATGTCATCTTAATGCATATTCTACATTCAACTAATTTATACATTCAACTGGAGAGTTAAAATGGTTAAAAGAAAATGTTAATTATATAGAAAAAATAAAAAATAAAGCTGGTATTTTAAATCAAGACCTGGTGATACAGGAACCAAGTGCACTATGGGATGAGGGGGGAATCACTGATATAAAATAATTTAAAAAATCATCTTGTCACAAAATAAGTGTTACCCAAATACTAGAAAGAGACATCAAAGAGTAACTGAACCCAACATGCTTTCTAAAATAATCATAGGTGAATGCAACCCCAAAGTTTATGAATTGAATGCACAGCTGAATGCAAATGCAAGCACACAGAGTGGTGTTTCTGAGACAATGCTAGTATACTATGACTATTAGTTAAACATTTATAAGGGCTTTGATCTAATATCACCTGAGAGGGAGCCTATATCTCCTGGGAACAATTGATTCTTAACAGTATGTATAATACATGACTTGTGCTGTTCCAGGATAGTCCTCACAATCGTTATCACCCATGAGCAGCTTGTATTATTATGCTGCAGAAGACAGCTTGCATCTACCCAGCTGAGTCGGAACTACAAGTCCCAGGACACTGTGCAGAGATGCTGGGACTGTTGTCAGCTACAAGTACAAACTGCAACATTATGAACAAGCAGAGATAACAGTCCCTGGGTTATGTCTATATAGCTGTGATTCATTTCTCATCAGAAACTCAGTGGCTTATCTATAACCTGTGGATTTTGCAGCTAACTTGTGTGACATCTGCTCTTTGGTTCCTAGTATTAAACCTTGACACTGCAGACACGTCAATACATGTCATTCATGTTTCTCGATACCCAGCATGAAAACTCCACATTCTTGTATCATAAAGCAAAGCCTATCGAATGTGGTCTTCTATCTGGTCTGATTTTATAAGCGTGTGTGTTTTGTAGTGCATGTGGCCATCACATGGATAGAGAGGGATGAACTGAAAAAAGGTTCAAAGTTAAGAAAAACATGCAGGGAAATGGACTACGACCCTAAGTATCGAAGCAGAGCATTGCACATCATAATAAAGCACTCTAACCCCAGGTCGGGGAGTCATTTACCGGTCCCATGTTGGTGTAGCCGTATTTGCTAGCTATCCTGTCGGCTTCTTGGGCTTCCCCTGATATCCTCACAGCCCAGTGGTTGGTGTATAAGCGAGCCCAGCATGTAGGTAAAGGGATTCCCAGCAGCACAGTCAGGATGAAGAGCACACACCAGGCAGACAGCAACTTCAAAGCCATGATATGCCCCTGCTGTCCCCCTCAAAGGAAGTCCCCTGCTCCTCAAAAGCGGGGGGGCTCCGAGCTCCCACAGGTGAGGATACACCCCACAACTGTTCCAATCCAAAAGAAGCCAAGCATATACTAGGAAAGTTCCCAGTTGCTGGATAAGGCACTTGTAGTACCCCTCTGCTTGTGATCTCACTTCTAGGGATTGCCCTGCACTTTGACTCTAGTGCTCTCCTGCTGCCAAGTCCTAATGTGGATGATGTGCTCTTTCTTGCAGATCCTCCTCTTCAGTCTTGTTTATGGGATCCCCTATGTGACAATGGCCAGTCCTCACACGCTCCTTTTTTGACTTCCCTGTGTCTTCCTTCCTCTTAGTATATGAATGTGGAGTGGGAGTGAAAGAAGCAGATCTCCCTTTCTCCCTCTCTGCATAAATGACTGCCCCCCTTCAGCTCTGCTCCCGTCCGAAACCAACAGTACCCAGATGTAATAGAGAGGCGGAGGCTGCGAGCTCATTGTCCCTCCTTCCTTCTCCTTCTAATATCCTATTCCCTCCTCCTGCTACTCACACACACACACACACACACACACACACTCTGCACACAGATGCCCTCACCTATCTGGCAGGAGACTGGGTGGGCTAAGGGGACCATCAACAGCACACGCAATGCTTTCAGCTTCCATAGATGACATTACTGCTATGGGATGGAGCCATTTTTCTGATTTATCTTCAGATCACAACAGAAGAAAATGAGCATTTCATCAATTATCTAAGGAATCAAAGATGCATTTTCCCATCAAGCCAGTAAGCCTTTCAAAGTCTGCTATGTCCATAAAGTGCTCATATGTTCCTAATTAATGGTCTGTTTAGACACTTTGCTTTGTAGTATCATTCCTGGTTGGTGTGTTTTATAAATATTTAGTGAAAGTGCTAGTCTTCTCACAACTACTATAACATTTGATACAAACAAGAAACAACAATCATTCCTAAATGCAACTATTTATAAAAGTGTTATTGCTATTATATTGCAACATAAACAAACATGAGGACCTGATCGTTTAAGGGAAAGCTCAGCACTTGAGACCTGGATGCAGCAGGATAGTTAAAGAGTATGGAGAGCATTCCAGCTGTTCATTTTTACTTAGCCAAGAGGAAAGGTAATAGCTCCTGTTTCAGAAGAGGGATTTATAAAAACTGGAGCAGATACCCATGGCAACCAATCAGCTTCTATCTTTCATTTTCAAAGCTTAAAGGAGAACTTTGGGGTAAGCGTTGTTCCCCATAGTTCTCCTAAGGGTCACGGGAGGACATAAACTAGCGTCCTCCCGTGACCCAAAGCTCAGTATACTGCGAGCTACAGCTCGCGGTATACTGAGAGCGCCGCAGCCGGGACTAGTCTCCCGACATTACTGTCGAGATCCACCCAGCTGCATGATTGACAGCTGGCTCTACCTATCTAGAGGCAGAGCCAGCTGTGCCCGCCCCCTCCCCCGTCCGTTCCGCCAGTCAGCGCTGGAGGATCAGACAGGGGAGGGGGGAATCCCTGCAGGGAGCTGTGAGTGACAGTCACGGCTCTCTGCAGGGACATGATCGAGAAGTGAGCGAGCGACGGTATGTGTTCGCTCATTTCCCAATCTATTGAGCCGACCTGTGACAGTTTCATTGTCACACGTCGGCTCGAACTATGAGGTTGAGTGAAAATCACTCACCTCATAGTTCTCCTTTAAAGCAATATTAAACGCTAAATCTTTTTTTTTTCTAATAATGATTCCAGATCAAACAAATATACATTGCCCACACAAAGAATTTCTTTACTTTTTTGCCCAAGCACTTACAGTCATCATGTTTACTAACAGCTCCAACTCTCTCAGCTCAGCTTCCCTGAACTTTCTGTTAAGTACAAGATCAAACACAAGGGACCATGCAGACTCCATCAGCTGTCCATCTACTAGCTTAAAGAAGTGAGGAGGGAGGAACGAGAAGATGGAAGCGGGGGGGTTGGTTTGCCTTGCTGTACCTGTGTGTTTTTGGAAACACACACAGCTTACTAGCACAACAAGGGTGGCTCCGTAGGACCCTGCAAGGGAAAGGAGTCACCCTAAAACAGGATATCAGGACCAGTATTCAGGGGACCAGTTGATTCTGCAGGAAGATTAAACTTTTGTACATCCAGGAGCAGCATTCATTGTAAGTGATTTAATCAGCATTTCAAGTGCTTAAAAACATTTTGAGGAGAATTTATCAAAACTGGAGCAGAGAAAATCTGGAGAAGAGAAAATCTGGAGCAGCTGTGCACTGCAACCATTCGGCTTCTCTCTTTCATTTTCAAATCTTAACTGTACAAACTGAAGAGAGAAGCTGATTGGCTGCAGTGGGCAACTGCTCCAGATTTTGTCTGCTCCAGTTTTGATAAATTCCCCTCTTTGACTTTAATATCACTTTAACTGAACAAACTGAAGAGAGAAGCTGATTGGTTACTTTGGGCAACTGCCAACTGCTTTAGATTCTGTCTGATCTAGATTTGGTCAATTCCCCCATTGTTTTAAAGCATAACTAAACCCTAAGCAAAAATGTAATATATTGCAGCTTACCAGTCCTTACATGTGGTTGATGCATTATTTTATTTTTTTAGGTTTTATTTTTTTTATTTTCACCTGTTGATCCAGTCAGTAACATGCGTTTTAGGGTGGCTCCATGCTATGGAGGAGCAATGGCCACCCTTAGACAGCAGCATTGTTATCCTGTGGACAAGGCAGGGTTATATCCACTAACAGATTTAGATGGACTTAATTAACAAATAAAGAACCGAACTCCAGCTAACACTTTTTAAGCATTTACAGCAACAGTTTATTTACCTTTTGGGATAAATGTTTTACATAAATAAAAGCCGACCATTATAATCACTCCTGTCAAAGTTTGATGGTTTCTTTCACCACTGCATCTGCAACTTTTGCTGGACAGCTTCGTCTGTAAGGCCCGGTTCACACCTGGGCGTTTTGTAGCGTGTTCCTACGCTCTGCAAAACGTTCAAACACCGAAATCCCATTATTTCCTATGGGTATGGTTCACACCTGGGCGTATTACAGGCCGTATGAACGCGCTACATAACGTCCTATGCCCAAAGAAGTACAGGAGCTTCTTTGGGGCGTTTTTGTCGCACATATTCGATACGCCTAGGTGTGAACCCAGTCTAAAGGAAAAAACCTAAAGAAGAAAACGAATGCAGCCACCACATAATTGGTAAGCTGCAATATATGCAATTTTCGATTTTGGGTTTAGATATGCTTTATGGTCACTATACACAGCTTTATAAGATGTCTCAGGACCTTAGAAGTCAGCATGTGGTACAAACATTTCACACAGTATGTGAATGCTACAAATCAAGTAAATGTAGCGTAGTGTACACTTACTTGATTTCTATTTATGGATGGGTTCGCACATTTTCAAGAGTATTAACAGCTTTCACATATAAGGATAGGTTACAGCACAGAAGCATTGCATTATATTGGTACATTGGTGTAATGCTGACACCTATTTTTTTGAAGGTTTCTTTACAAAGGAAAAATTGCCGGTATTAACAATTCCACCCTCCACAGAGGAAATGGATAAGAGATCTGAACGCCATGCATAGATTGCATTCAATATGGTCCTGCTGGTTGGATGGCATGGGCAGGTTTTGTCTGATATGGAAAGGATTATGTTATGTGTTCCGTGTAATACTTAGAGAGTGTAATGTGGTATGCCAACCTTAATTGTATGCTGTTAAAAAAAAACTTGCGTTTGAGCTGTATTTGACTCGTCAGGGATGATTTAGGCCCCATTCACACTGAGCGATTTATCGCAGCGATATCACTCATATTTCCACGCGATATCGCTCTATTTAGCTTCTCCAATCCATTTCAATGGAGCTGTTCACATCTCCTCGCTCAATATCGCTCAATATCGCTTGTAGCTCGTCGCTGGTAGCTTGTCGCTCCTACATGACCCTTTTTTCGAGCGATTTTGCTCCTGATTGCATACAGCCCAATAGGAAAAAGTTGCGCGATGTTGCGCGACAAGTCGCTCAATATCGCTCGTCGCGCAATATCGCTCAAAATCGCTCGATTTTCATGTCGCTCAGTGTGAATGGGGCCTTACTAAAGACAAATAAGCTGTTCACTTTTCATGGGAATTTTTACTTAGCTTAGTGAATGAATACAAGTTGAGCTGAAGTTAAATTCCCTTTCAAAGTAATATCTATAAAAATCTATGAAAATAAAATCTTATTTAAAAACATACCCTCCCTGTTATCATTATTTGCTAGACAATGTAAGCAATTTAACTAACAACACTTCCTGCATCTGACTTCACACCTTCAAAGCAGGATACAAAGATTAATGCCCGATGATGATTATGAGCTTTTTAAGTATCCAAATTAATCCCTCTGGAGGAAACAGGCCCCCAAATCTCACATCCTTTCTTGTTTAAATGTCTTGAATCACCCATGTTCATATCTCTTGGAGATGCAGTTGGCATCTCAGTTGGCATCTCCACACTTCAGTGGCTTGCCTCTCACCTGCCATTGCCATTACAGATGTATTTCTAAGTTGGATCTCTCATTACTGAGAAAGCAGCAGAGGCAAATCCTCCTGCCTTATGGACTTTTGTGGAGCAACAAGTTTTATCATACTTGGGCAGCCAGTGGCTAAAAACATCAGTCAGTACTTTCAGCTTATCAAGAGCTGGAGGGCCACATACTGTCTACATGTGCACTGATATAGTAAAACTCTTTTAAAGACCATTTAGGCTAGGTTCACACCTGCACTCATGCACGACACTCAGGAGGTGCGGTCCTGCACAATGCAGGCAGCGATTGCCTCTCACCCCCATTGATTAGAATGGGGTGACATCCGCGCGGCAATCGCAGAAAAAAGGTACATGTTGTAGCCGGAAACCATGCCATCCACCCAGTGAGACTGGGGTGCCATTAGAAAATAATGGCACCCACAGCGCAATCGGTTCACACCTTGGCTAATCCTGACCGTACCGCAATCCGTGCGGAATCGTGCACAATTGTCGCGCGGTAAGGTGTTGCCTAGATGTGAACCTAGCCTTAGTAGTTCATTGGAATGATGTTTTGCATTCAAGTATTCATCCTTTCACCAAGAATAAGACGTGTCTCTGTGGACTGAAGTGGGAGATGTCTTATTACTGATGTTACTTGTTCACAGCTTTCTGCACCCACTATGGGCAGGTGTTGATCATATTTTAAGGCAAAGCACAGTTGATTACACAAGGTACACTATGGGGT